AAAAGAACAAATGAGGCCCAAAGTAGGTAGAAGGAGGGACATAATAAAGATCAGAACAGAAATAAATAAAATTGAGAAGAATAAGAAATAGAATCAATGAAATCAGGGGCTGGTTACTTGAGAAAATAAACAAAATAAACCCCTAGCCAGACTTATCAAGAACAAAGAGAGAGTAAACAGACACATAAACAGACTCAGAAATGAAAAAGGAAAAATCACTATGGACATCACAGAAATATAAAGAATTAGTAGAGAATACTATGAAAAATTACATGCTAACAAACTGAATAACCTAGAAGAAATGGACAACTTTCTAGAAAAATACTACTTTCCAAGCCTGACCCAGGAAGAAACAGAAAATCTGAACAGACTAATTAAACTGGTAACCAAAAAACTACCTAAGAACAAATCCCTGTACCAAATGGCTTCACAGCTGAATTTTATCAAACATTTAAAGAAGAGCTAATACCCATCCTCCTTAAAGTTTTCCAAAAACTAGAAGTGGAGGGAGTACTGCCAAACTCATTCTATGATGCCAGCATCAGTCTAATAACAAAACCAGGCAAAGACACTGAAAAAAAAAAAGAAAATGAAAGACCAATATCCCTGATGAACATAGATGCAGACAACCTCAACAAAATATTAGCAAACCAAATTCAAAAATACATCAGAAAGATCACCCATCATGATAAAGTGGATTTATTCCAGGGATGCAAGGATGGGTGCAATATTCAAAAATCAATCAACATCATACACCACATCAACAAAAAAAGGACAAAAATCACATGATCATCTCAATAGATGCTGAAAAAGCATTTGACAAAATACAACATCCATTCATGCTAAAAACTCTCAACAAAATGGGTATAGAAGGTAAGTACCTCAACATATAAAGGCCATACTCAACAAACCTACAGCCAACATCATACTTAACAGTGAAAAGCTGAAAGATTTTCCTCTAAGATCGGAACAAGACAAGAATGCCCACTCTCCCCACTTTTATTCAACATAGTGCTGGAGGTTCTAGCCACAGCAATCAGACAACACAAGAAATAAAAGGCATTCAGATTGGTAAGAAAAAGGTAAACTGTCACTGTTTGCAAATGACATGATACTGTACATAGGAAACCCTAAAGAATCCACCTAAAATCTACTAGAATATCTGAATTCAGCAAAGTTGCAGCATATGAAATTAATACACACAAATCTGTTGCATTACTATATACTAACAATGAACTGGCGGAAAGAGAAATCAGGAAAACAACTCCATTTACAATTGCATCATAAAGAATAAAATAAGAATAAAATACCTAGTAATAAACCTAACCAAGGAGGTGAAAGACCTATACTCTGAAAACTACAAGACACTCACGAGAGAAATTAAAGAAGACACCAATAAATGAAAAATATCCTGTGCTCACGAATAAGAAGAATCAATATTATCAAAGTGGCCATCCTCCCTAAAGCAATCTATAGATTCAATGCAATCCCTATCAAAATACCAACAGCATTCTTTAATGAACTAGAATAGTTCCAAAACTCTTATGAAACCACAAAAGACCCCAAATAGCCAAAGCAATCCTGAGAAGGAAGAACAAAGCTGGGGGATTATGCTCCCTAACTTCAAGGTCTACTAGAAAGCCATAGTAATCAAAACAATTTGTTACTGGCACAGGAACAGGCTCATAGATCAACAGATTAGAGAGCCCAGATATAAACCCACACATATATGGCCAATTAATATATGATAAAGAAGCCATGGACATACAATGGGGAAATAACAGCCTCTTCAACAGCTGGTGTTGGGAAAACTAGACAGCTACATGCAAGAGAGAATGAAACTGGATTATTGTCTAACCCCATACACAAAAGTAAACTCAAAATGGATCAAAGACCTGAATGTAAGTCATAAAACCATAAAACTCATAGAAAAAAACATAGGCAAAACTCTCTTGAATGTAATAAACATGAGCAAGTTTACCCTGAATATATCTCCTTGGGCAAGGGAACAAAGGCAAAAATGAACACATGGGACTACATCAAACTAAAAAAGCTTTTGTAGAGCAAAGGCCATCAGCAGCAGAACAAAAAGGCATCCTAGAGTATGGGAGAATATATTCATAAACGACTTACCTGATAAGGGGTTAACATCCAAAATACATAAAGAACTCACATGTATCAACACTCAAAAACCAAACAACCTGATTAAAAAATGGGCAAAGGATCTGAACAGATACTTCTCCAAAGAAGAAATTCATGGCCAACAGGCTCATGAAAAGATGCTCCACATTATTAATCATCAGGGAAATGCAAATTAAAACCACAATGAGATATCACCTCACACTGGTTAGGATGGCCAACATCCAACAGACAAAAAAACAACAAATGCTGGCGAGGATGCAGAGAAAGGGGAACCTCCTAAACTGTTGGTGGAAGTGTAAATTAGTTCAACCGTTGTGAAAAGCAATATGGAGGTTCCTCAAAAAACTAACAATTTAAATACCATTTGACCCAGTAATTTCACTCCCAGTAAATTACCCAAAGAAAACAACATCCCTGATTCAGAGACATATGCACCCCAATGTTTATCGCAGCACTATTTACAGTAGCCACGATATGGAAGAAACGTTAAGTGTCCATCAGTAGGTGAATGGATAAAGAAGATGTGGTACATATACACAATGGAATATTATTCAGCCATAAGAAGAAAAGAAATCCTACCATCTGCAACAACACAGATGGATCTAGAGGGTATTATGCTCAGTGAAATAAGCCAGGCAGAGAAAGACAAGTACCAAATCATTTCCCTCATTTGTGGAGTATAACAACAAAGCAAAACTGAAGGAACAAAACAGAAGTAGACTCCAAGAAGGGACTAGTGGTTACCAAAGGGAAGGGGCTGGGGAAGGTGGGTGGGGAGGGAGGGAGAAGGGGATTAAGGGGCACTATAATTAGCAATCACAATATAGATAGGTCTCAGGGAAGGCAGTAAAGCACGGAGAAGTAGTGACTGTAGCCTATCTTACAAGCTGATAGTGACTGCAGTGGGGGGGTGAGGACTTGATAATACGGTGAATGTTGAAACCATAAAGTTGTTCATGTGAAACCTTTGTAGGATTGTGTATTAATGATGCTTTAATTTAAAAAAAAAATCCAATGGCTGCCCACTGACTTGAGCAAGGTGTAGTGAGCCTATTATTTTGTTGGCTCAGCACTGTACTTCCTTCAGGAACATTATTTCTCTTCTGGGAACTCCCCTACCACCTGCAACAGTTCACTTCCCTTGAGAACAGGTGCCTGACCCAAGCTGGGCAAATCAGAACCCACCCAGGGGATTTTGTTATTATGGAGAAAGCTGCAAGATTTTTCAGAACTCAAAAGCTGTCAACATCCATGATTCCGGTCAAGTAAGGAAAACTGTCAAAAACCAGTAATAAGAAATAGTCTTGGCATTTTGAGTTCCTAGCTTAGCTTCCTGAGGCCCAGCCAGCATTGTCATCTTTGTAACTCTTGTTTGGATTCTCTGAGCCAATTCCTCTTTTTGCCTAAGTTAGCCAAAGTTGTGTTCCCATTCTTTGCTGTTACACCTGACAAGGCATTTCATTAATTGGTTCCCACCTCTCCACCTATCCTATCTCCCCTTGTATCATCACACTCATATTCTACAATGAAACACTTAATATTCTACTAACTCAATATGCTGTTTCACACCTTCTCCTCTACACAAATTTCTCTGCACCTCCCATCCTAAATCTGGGGTCAACTTTTCTGAAATTTTCATGACTCCCCTCATCAGAGCCAGGCACCCCTACCTCATATTCTCGTTGCCTGTGCGTTATGTCCAAGCTCTTATCACAATGTAATGCAACTGCCCTTGTGGATGACGAATGTGCCCTAGGTAATGGCAGTTGGCAGGGTGATTAAGAACTTGGACTCTGGAGCCCAACTACCAAGCTCCCCACTCAGCAGCAGAAATTGGGAAGATATTTCTCATTTATAAAAGGAGATACCAATAGCACTTACTTTATTTGGTTTTTATGAAAATGAGATGTTACGAGAATTTACAATAGTATCTAGCACTTAACAACTAAGTTATATACATCATGATCTTTGAAATCAGAATATCAGTAATTCTCATTTTTGTATTTCTAACACTTGGCACAATGTCCGTCCCAAGTAATGACTAAGTATTTGTTTGCTTGATTGACTTTAAAAGAACATGTCAAAAGAGAGCTGGATGTGAATGGAGCACACCTAAGAAGAGGTCAAAGAGGAAGTCCTAATACAGGGGTTCATTCGGTGTTCACCAAGGGTGGAGGAGGGTGGCCTCCCGGACTCCTTCCAGGCAGCTGCTCACTGAGGACAGTGGGGAGACAAGACTGACGGGGTTTCTGATAATTTAGATTCATTTTTCTTTCTGATTTACGGATTTCACTGGAGGTCCTTATCACCACTGCACCGAGCTTTAGAAAAACGTATTCTCAGCATTTGTTTCCTAGGAGATCTCAATAAGCAAGCGGAAATAAAATGCTCAGAGGAACTGAGCTACGTGAAGAGACCTACTGCCTGACAAATCTCCGTGCACCACTTCCAGACTTAGAGCTAAGATGGCCAAGGAATGCCACTTCATGATTCTTAGCTGGCGAAAGAACTAAGGATTTGGGGTCTACCTAAGAATAAAGTATGTAAGTCATAAGCCACAGTGCACAACGATGACCAGGTAGCTCACTTATTTAAAAAGGAGTTAAAAGAACTGGAGAATTGAGAGGCATGTTTTGTTTTTCTGACAAACACGGAAGAAGCCAGAAAAAGAGAACTTAAGTGTGCCAACGGCGGAGACCCGGCGTCGCCTTTCCCGGGGGCCGCCCGCGCTGAGCCCGGCTCCCCGGGGCGTCGGGGACCAGGCGCGCGGCGTCCGCGGCGGTCGCGCCTGGGAACGGCTTTCTCCCTCCCTCCGTCCCCTCCCGCCCCACTCGGCCGCGGCTCTGAGGCGACTGTACCCGAGGACAGCTCCGGGTCCGCGGTGCTCATCTCAGCCTTGCTCCCGGCCTGCAAGATGAAGACGAGGAAGAGGAGGGGCGCCATGGTGCTCCGAACTGATTAAGGGTGCGGCCGCGAGCGACTGTGAGGGTCCCCCGACTAAGCCCTCTGGCCTGGTCTGGCGTCACTTCCGCCACTGCGGACCAGAGCTCCCGGGGGCGTGGACAGCGAGGTGGGGAGCGGACTGTGTGCCCCGGAGACCAGGGAGGAGGGCGGGGCCGAGCTGGGAGGCGGGGCCAGGCGGAAGGCGGGGCGACAGCAGAGAGGCGGGACTGGGGCCGGGATGTCAGGCACGGTCGGCCGACAGGGATGTAAATGGAGGGGCGGATAGGGAATGGGAAGCTGGGGGCGGGCTGGGAGGCTGGACTAGGCTAGAAGGGCGGGGAGGCTGGACTAGGCTAGAAGGGCGGGGAGGCTGGCTAGTAAAGCTCGGAGTTACGGGCGCGAAGACTGTGGTCGTGACCTGAGCTCCCAGGTTTGTGAGAAATCACCTTCCGCTATTCTTTCTGTTTTTGCAGTGTTCTAGGGCTGGCAGAACTTTGCTATAGACACAACTCAGCCACAGTCCGTACTTGACCCTATTAAACTTGCCATCAGGGCTTCTGGGAACCTGAGAATTTAGAACAAAAAGGGCCCATAAGTGACTTCTCTAATCCCTGCGTTTGTATTTAACGAACCTGAAGCCTCACTGGTGAAATGGCTTGCCCAAGTTTTCACAGCCGGCCAAGAACTACTTTATTCTTGGAGGAAAAGCAACTTGCATAACCTCTTAAGGAATTATTTGGATCTGTTAAGCAGCTTCTTATTACGAGATCTGCCTTCTTTCCTCTTTGAGCTCTTTCCTCAAATTACTGTGCATCTCCCTCATTTCAGTCCTCCACACTGGTCTCTGCCCTGCCTAGAACACACCAGGCTTGCGCTCAGATGTACGTATAGCTACTACCTCACCTACTTCGGGTCTCTTCTTTTGGGCTTTTGCAAAAATTTGGAATTGCAGCCTTCTTCCCATCCTACTTACCCTGCCCTACTCTTTTTTTCACGGCACTTAGCACCTCCTCCCACACTCTGTAAATATGCATATCGATGTTTATTTTCTCCTTCTAGAATGTAAGTTCGATAGGGCTGAAATATTTGGCACTCAGTATTCATTGAATGAAAGAATGCATGATTACACTAGTGTTAAGCAAAATTTTAGAGACAAAAGTCTTATAATAATGCACAAAGTACAGAGGAATTAACAATATCACTTTATCTACATTACTATATTCCTTAGCTCGGTAAATTCTGAACTTCAATGAACATGTGAACCACTGGTGATCTTGTTAAAACATATATTTGGATTCAGTTGGTCTGATTCAGATTTGTCCTTGAAATTCTACATATGTAACAAAATACACAGAAAATGCAAATCCACGGTCTATAAAACCATACTTTGAATAGGAATTCCTTAGCTCAATCTAGACTTGAATTTTGGGAAATATTTTGTCTGATGTGTTTATGATGCCTTGCTGTCTTATTCTGTTTGCATTACTATAACAAAATACCTCAGATGGAGTACCTTATAAGCAACAGAATTTTATTTCTCACAGTCTGAAGGCTAGAAGTCCAAGATCAGAGTGCCAGAATTATCAGGCAAAGGCTGTCTTCTGGATTTCCGACTTCTAGTTGTATCTTCATATGACAGAAGAGGAAGGGATCTCTCTGAATCCTCTTTTATAAAGCACTAATCCCATTAAGGAGGGTTCTACTCTCATGACATAAGCATCTCCTAGTCTTGTCATCTTTGTGAGTTAGAATTTTAACATACGACTTTGGGGGAAGCCACAACATTCAGATCACAGCACTCCCTCTGTGAAAGGTATTGTCCAGTCATTGCAAGAATGCAGGGATAATAAGAACTTTATCTGTTTAAGAGTTTATGGAGAAGGACAGGACATACTAATATTAAGTTCAGTTGTTAATATTTTTGTAGCAGCCATCACGGGTTGGGTTACCCATGAATTAGACTCTGAGGGGGAGAATAATGTGCAAGACATGCTCTTGTATGGATCCTGGGATCGACATCTGTGAAAAGCAGGTTGAAGAAACAGGATTGAGAGGAGGGAGAAGGTGATGTGTGATGCCATCCCAACAAAGGCTTCATCTAACCCCTTGGAGATGAGATGGCCTTTCAGAGGTGTCTTGAATTGGTAGGAGTGGTTCGGCCTCCAACTTCCAGCATTGATTAGTCAATGCATACAAACCATTCCTGGAGGGGAAGTAATTGAAGCTGTCCATTTCTTTTACTGAAGCAATCTCCAAAGAGTGCTGACAACTGAGGATTTCTACCAGCAACACTCCCAGCAGCAGGGAGATGACGCTAAGTCTTCTGTCCTGAAGGGGGATAATATGGGCCTAGCTTCCCAACCAACACCCTCCATAGAGCCTATGTTTCTGAGGCACTGTCCTAGTCACTGGAGACTAAAGATATTTATTAAGTCACTAAATATCATTGAGTACCACTGTGTGGGTCTAACACTGCTTTGAGCTGAGATACAGACCTGCACCAGACAAACATGGTCCCTGCCTTCATGGAGCTTATAGTCTCCTGAGGGATCAAGGAGGCATTAAATAAGCTATTAGACAAAGAAGTACTGGAATTATAGTAGTCATTATCAAAGAGAGCAATGGATTTACAGGACAATAAAGAGGGATTTAGCTTAGTCTAAGTATTAAGGAAATTCTTTCTTAAGGCAGTTACAATTATGTTATGACTTGAAAGATAGGAAGGAATTCATCTGAACAAAACTGGGGGGATTGGAGTAAGGAGTCATTGGCTAGTAAGAGAGGTAGGAGGAAGGTCAGTGATATATTTAAATCCAATATGTAAATCTTACATAGCCACCCAGAAGGCAAATGAGCAATGCCAGTTTCCTTGATAAAAATCCAAAGTCTAATGGCTGGAGAAAATCTCCAACTCTATGTTGGTTAGTCCCCACTATATCCTCTGGTGAGTTTTTAAAACCAAGAAAACCAATGTGGAGTGAAGGGTGGATAATTCCAAAGTCAAGTGTAAAATGTAGTATGCTCAGGAGCTAAGGCTACGTTTTGTGGTACATACTGAACACAGCCTAGAAGAAATTCATAAGCCAAACAAAATAATTTAGGAAATTAAAACTATGACCTAATGGGAACAAAGACTGGATGTGCAGCACAAACTGTGTACTTTTGGCTCCTGGCACCATGCATTTCCTTCCCTTTTCTCTAGAGCAGAAATGTCTGCCAGTTGTCCTTTAAAGGAGACAGATCAAAAAGTTTGTGGCTAAAGCACTTAGTTCCAAATTCTAATTAGTCTATAAATTATAGTCAATTCTCCCCAAACCTCTCTCTACCCATTCCTCTACACTTCACACTGCCCTTACTTAACTATGTTTTTGCCATAGTACTTAACCTTCTGGGGATCTGTGTGTGTGTGTGTGTGTGTGTATGTGTATGTGTGTGTATCTCTACAAATATGTAGGTAGTGAAATTGTAATCATTATCAAAGAGAGCAACAGGATTATTAGGGCATAAATTTTCTCTCTTTCATTAAAAATTAAGCTCCTTATTTTCTTCACTACAATATCCCCTGCAACTACATAAGTGCCTATCATTCCATTAATATTTATTAATATTTATTGAATAAATATTTGAATGAACAAAACCAGCTTGTGCATAGGTGTGTGATTGTAGCAGGTACAGTTAAATTTGTGGTTGGTTAAGCTATACTTGGGTCACATGAGAATTTAGACTTGTTTATATATCATACTGATAACAAAGTACTACCCATTCTTGCTGCCCATAGCCCTCTTCCAAGGAAAGCTGTCATGCTGACATCTGATCATATCAGATCAACCCCTGACTCAGAGGCAGTTATCCATAGGCTGTAAAATCTTCTAGCAGCTTGTCTTGGAATACTGCCTAAGGTAGATTCCACACCTGAGATGGTGACTGTGGCAGGCATTGTTCATTAGCTGACTGTTAATAACTTTTTGCGCTATCCTTCTACCTTGCTGTCTTCCCACTATAGAGGCTATGAAAGTTCAATACTCACTTTCCCAATCTTCATGGCAGCTAAGTGTAGTCATATGACACAACTTTGATCAATGAGACATAAGCAGAAGTCTGTGTGTGCATGTATGTGTACACAGATGCACACATGTTACAGATGCAACAAAAGAGCTTGCTGGCCTTGACTCTTCTTTAATCTTTCTGCCTTAAATGTAGACAGATAATGACTGGATCTGCAGCAGCCACTTTGCAACCATGAGATGACATGATTGAAGATGAAAACCAACAGTAAAAATGGCTGAGGAAGGTGGAAAGCCTGAGGTGTTGATGTTTTCATTGAGCAGCTGAACCAATGTCTGCAAGCACCTACATTGGAACACTCTTTATAGGAGGAAAATAAGGTCCTATTGATTTAAGCCACTGCCAGTTTGGTTTTCTTTTAATTAAACTGAAATTTTTTCTTACTCAATGTCAGGCCAACCTAAATGAATTCTCTTTCAGACAGCTGAAATGTAAACCAAAATGGAAGAAAGGACGGCTGAGGGGAAAGGGGGTAAAGAAAAATGGAGAAACTACAAACTCAAGGACAGAAATTAGAACACTTAGGAGAGCAGCAAAGGAGATCCCTTGTTGAGGGAAGATCATGAGACCTGTGTTTTGGAGCTGCAGCATTGGCCAGAGGCCAGTGTACCCTGAACAACTCTTCCTCACTGTGGCTCCAGGAGGACCCACTATCTGGTTACTGTTTCCTCTTCTGACTTTCCCACACACAGTCACCAAATTCCTTTGTCACTAAAGGTAATCTGAGTGTCACTGCCCCTTGCAACTGAAAGAGCTCATCTAGCATCATTTCTAGCCATCTGTGGTCAGTCTCATAAAGGACAGGTACCATATTCTTTTAGCAAACATTTCTCAACATCACAGAAAACACTGAGCTAGATAAACTCTCTGAGAAACACCAAGCAACATAAAGAAGCCTGCAGTTTGTCCTCAGTGCCTCACACTTCCTCTTTTGGTGCTTCCTCCTCTCCATCTAAGTGCTTTCCCTCACCACGCCAACGCCCAGTGTCCTGCTGCTGTTCAGATGGCAAGTGTCCTCCTACTTTGACAATGCCGGGAACTGGTTCACAAGGCTTCATTCAGCTTA